AGAGGCTCAGGAAAAAAAAGAAAGCGCCAGGACACGATCTAATCTCCCCTAAAATGATTATGGAATTGTCGAACTGTGCAGTAAATCTTCTTACCACGATATTCAATAGTATGATGACATGGGGCTAATATGCACAACAATGGTCCATAAAGCTGGAAAGGACATGTCCCAGCCTTCATCATATAGGCCAATCAATCTTCTGCCGTGCATATCAAAGATATTTGAAAAGCTGCTTCTGAATCGTATAAAGAAACACCTACAGTCCCATGGTCACGGAACCATTGAATAAGTAAACCGAAAAACCACCGAGATACGAAATACATTTGAAAGTCGAGAGTATTGTTCCGCAGTTTTTCTGAATGTTGCCCAGGCCTTCGACCCCGTTTGGTTGGACGGCTTGGTTTATAAAATTCAAAACTTTCTACCACAAAACACCCATAAAATACTGGAGTTATATCTTGTGCGTAGAAGTTTTGCAGTACGATGTAAAGATTTCCTCTCTGAATACCATCCAGTTGAACCTGGAATACCAACGATGTATATAATCTACACAGCAGGCCTTCCGACAACCAGTCTTATAATAACTTCATCATTTGCTGATGATACTGCCATTCTAAGTCGATCTAAGTGCCCCATGAGACCAACGCAATATTTATCTGCTCATCTCAGGCTTTTGGAGAAATGGCTAGCAGATTGGCGCATAAAGGTTAACGAGCAAAAGTGCAAACACGTTACTTTTACCCTTATTAGACAAACTTGCCCCCACCATCTCTGAACAACATCCATATACCACAAGCAATAGACGGCTTACCTGGAGAAGGCACATCGAAGCCGAGAGCACAACTAAAATTAAAAGCAAGAAGCCTACACTGGCTAATAAATGCTCGCTCTCCGCTTAAATTGGAGTACAAGGTACTTCGGTACAATGTAGTTCTCAAACCAATTTGGAAGTATGGCTCCGAGCTATGGGGGAACGCATGCGTTAGTAACCTAGAAGTGATCCAGAGAGCCCAATCAAAAATACTAAGAACAATAACGGGTGCATCGTGGTACATACGAAATGAAATGAAATCGACAAAGAAAAAGCAAAGTATACGATCAAGCTACAGGCTCATCCAAACAGGCTGGCGCGGTCTTTAACGTGGAACACTAGCCACACACGACTCCGGCGAAGAGATCTATCCACCCAGCAACAATAGCTAGGGCCGTTTTACCAAAAAACTTAATCTTAATTTCAATTATTTAAATAAAAGTATTAGGCTACGATTTGAATACTTATCGTTAGTCTCATTGAGAGACGGTATTAATTAAATACCGTAAAAATAAAAAAAAAAAAAAAAAAACTTCGTACTTGGCCAGATTCATCAAAAACTACGCAATAGAGGCAAAGGAAAGCGAAAGAGCAGATAAGAAGTATTGTATATCGAGTTAGAGCGATCTGAGGTAGTAGCTTTCGAACATCTGAAACGTTTAATAGTTGAAGCTCCGGTGCTTAAGTTGTTTGATCCAAAAGCTGTCACGGAGGTCCACAAGCCAACTGGTGGAAGACCTGTGCCGACGAATACCCGTGAAAAACATTTAGTCAGAACGGTATGGGGCATCTCGTGACATCACCCAAAAGATGGGAGTTGGTCACCAAACCATATTAAGGGGGGGGTAAGGTTTAAAAAAAAAATTGTTACATTTTTGAAGTGAAACTTCTTTATCGGCGTTGGAAAAAAATTTAGCGTCACATTTTTCGGTTACGCGTCACATTTTTCGGTTACGGGTCACATTTTTGGGTTACGGTCACATTTTTTCGTTACGCTCCATCCGATTCATGACCGTCACGAAAAAGCAAGGATCCCCATCCCTCTCTAACCGCTGACGAACGATCTCTCTATCTTCTTCTATCCTCTCTCGCTCTTAGCGCGCTCGCACAAAGTTGAGAGCGTAAAAATTTAAAAATAGAATGCGGTTGCGTGTGTGAGAACAAGTAAGTGCGTATGTATGTATGTATGCTTACTTGAGCAAGAAGACGATTTTTAAGCCGAAATCCTCTCTGTGCCAAAACGAATTCATTTACAGCAGTAGAAAAAGGGTGAGAGGTGTGAGTGTCAAAAGAAATTCTAATTGAATAGGTTGCATACAGATATTAACAGTTTAATTGATGTATTAGCTTATTACAGCTTAAGTATGCATTAACTACTTTTGATTGCACCTTAATTCTTGTCCATTTTTTTCATCAGAGAAACATAATTTTTGGAACATAGAGTTTTCTAACAATAAAATAAGAAATAAACAAATATAGTAAGAAATATACAGACAGACTTCACAATCATGTAAATAATCTAGCCCTAGGTCTATTAGACAATAGCTCAACATATAGAAGACTCAAAAGATTTCACATTCTTGATCTCCCTGAAAGGTAAATTTAAGTAAACGATAAGGTATACTTAATAGCAGGTTTCACTGGAAATCTGCTATTCCTGTTATGTAATTATTAGTCATAAAATTTACTTATTGTCACAAGACAGATTGTAAATAAAATATTGAAAAAAAAAAAAAAAATCTCAGGCTTTCAGAGAAATGGCTAGCAGATTGGCGCATAGGGGTTAACGTGCAAAAGTGCAAACATGTCACCCTTACCCTAAATAGACAAACTTGCCCCCACCATCTCTGAACAACATTTATATTCCACAAACAACGGAATTAACGTATCTTGGAGTCCACCTTGATAAAAGGCTTACTTGGAGAAGGCACATCGAAGCCAAGAAAACACAATTAATATGAAAAGCAAAAAGCCTGGTTAATAAATGCTCGCTCTCCGCTTAAATGCTTCTGTACAATTCAGTTCTCAAACCAATTTAGAAATATTACTCCGAGCTGTGGGGGAACGCATGCGTTGGTAACCTAGAAGTAATCCAAAGAGCCAAATCAAAGATACTGAGAACTATAACTGGTGCACCGTGGTACAAACGGAATGAAAGCATTCACAGAGATTTAAACGTTGGATCTGTTAAAGACGAAATCGACAATGTAAAAGCAAAGTATACGATTAAGCTGTAGGTTCTTCCAAATAGGCTGGCGCGGTCCTTCAGCTGGAACACTAACCACAGACGATTCCGGCGAAGAGATCAACCCACCTAGCTCGTCCCGGACGAGCTTTTTCAACCATATGTTCTGGTAATTTCTGGCTGGATAGTATGGTGGTAAAAGAGTTCGAAGTTAAGATCAAAAATAAAAAAAATGCCCGTGGGAATAAAACTTGCTTTGAGTGGCCAGACCAATAAACCGTTGATAAAGGTTTTCCTCTTCTTCCCTTTCCTCAAAAAACTAACACCAAGCCTTGTTCTTTCCCTTAAAAATGCAAGGGGCTTGCTAACTAAATTGTATTCTGATAGCTTTTCTTTTGCATCCCATATTGTTGTATTATTCCGCACACAATATACAGGCATGGCCTGCCTTCCAAGCGAGTCTTAATTGCGGTTGAGTCCACCCTCATTTCGGAGGAGGTGCTTTCTGATGAGCTCCATAGCATAGATTTTATATGCGTAAAGCTGTCGCTTTCCGATAGTCTTTTTTAAAAACCTTGCTCCTACATTCCGCCATCTTCTTAATTTTCAGTTTATTTTAATCATTGGTCTGTTATACAGTCCGTTTCGGATAAGCTTTCAGATAGGGATAAATTGGTAGTTCTAGGAGATTTTAACCTGGAACTATTTGGTCCCCAGAAGAAAGATCAAATGTCCTTCTGCCTATAGCACAAAATGACTTTATTGACGGCTTGCTTGATATATCATTATCGGAAATCAATCATATACGAAATTCTTTAGGTCGTTTACTGGACCTTTGTTTTAATATAGAGTATTTCTTTAATTGGTCTTTACACTTGTAATAATAGGGCGAAATAGGAAATTTAATGATACCGGTTCTCAATCTATCTTTTCAAAATATTTAAAAGCTCGGTCAAATTTTAGCGTGCTTAATGCTCAGTTTTCAAAAACAATTTCGTAAATGCTAAGCGTAAAACATCTTATTTCCTTTCCTCGCTATCATTTGAAAATACTACGGTAAAATCGGATATAGCAATAGCCGATTTATTTGCGCAGTTTTTTTTAAACAACATACTCTGCGTTACCTCACTATGATCAGCCCTATTCTTACGCTGTATCTAAGTAGAATTTAATATTCTGTCCCACTTTAAACGTGAGCTCTCTACTTTGCAATCTCCAGAGTATTAAAACTGTATATTCGCCAGTTCCTAATAGCATTCCTGGCTGTGTACTTCTTAGGTATTGCGCGAAAGCCTTGTGCAAGCCGCTGCTCAAGTTGTTTACCCTCTTTTTGGAAATGTCACAGTTTTCCCACATGTGAAAGGAGTCTTTTGTAATTTCGCTTCACCAAAAAGGTAACAAATCGGATGCAAGCAATTAAAGAGGTATATCTAAATTTTCTGCAATTCCTAAGCTTTTTGAAAAAGTTATCACCTGTGTAAGTCAAGCATTTCTTCGTGTCAACACGGTTTTATAGAACGAAGATCAACAACCACTAATGTGTTGAAGTTTACTTCATTCGTGATTAGGGATTTTAAACAATTTTCAAACAAATGTCATTTACTCTGACTTTAGAAAAGCATTTGAGTCTGTAAATCATTCACTTTTTGTAGGGAAAGTTGACTTATTAGGTTTCCAAGTTGATCTTTAGAATGGATCTTAAGTTATCTGAAATTCACTCTCTTGTGTTCTCCGAGTCACCTCCGAATTCCCGCAAGGGAGCCACTTTGGTCCGCTAGTATTTACCTTATTCATTAATGACCTTCCATGAGTAATAACTTTCTCTCGGGTACTTATGTACACCGATGATTGATTCAATTAATTTAATGGAAATTTTTTTTCTTCTCTTAGAAGAAGGTATGAGGTTCACATCTTGCATGAACTTTTGAAAAACAACTAAAAAACTAATTTGCACATTATAAATCAGATAAAAGAATTTACAGTCTTTGTTTTAGTTTTACTTACATTCTTTAAGATTATTTTGAATCGGGGTTCCAGTTAATATAATACGTTTTGTAGTTTTTACTTTGGCCACTGCGATACTTATGGCAGATCGACTGTTTTTAATAATGTGACCTTCATCGCAAACTACTACATCTGCACCTAGGAAAAAATTTTAATTTATTGTTAAATGGAGAAACGTAAGATACCAAAGAAAAACAGCAGTAATTGAAGAATTGGTTTTTGGTCTATCAAAAATTTATAGTGTTCTGTTAATTTATACAATTTAATCAATACAGTTTTTTGATAAAACGGTTTAAGGGAAAACTATTTTTGATTTACCATTTCATAAAGCCCAAAAAGAAACACAAACAAATTGGTAAAATTTTCTTAAGTTTTTTAGGTTTCCAATCCTAAATTAAGGTATGTTTACTTGCCTGGTTGAAGTAGATATTTTTTTACTTTATCTCGAATGCTTTCTAATCTGTTCGACTGGTTACCTCGGCATTTATATGAGTGATAGAAAACAAGGGAACGAAAAGCTTCATATCCGATCAACAAACAACCCGCACTTTCCTTTGCAGACAATGACCAATCTTCTAGTAACGTCAATTTATCGGATATATCACTAAAAATAAAGTATAAAAAGTTCCAAATATTTATTTTATATGCAAGCTTTGGTCTCAAAGTTTATAAGTTAAATTTTGGCTAAATAAATAAAAAATAAATTAGACATAAAATTAGATTTGTGATCTGTTCTTAGCCAAATATTGTAGTTCGGCATACTCTTGTACTACTTGACCGCCACCCCGATAAGTAAGAAACTAGAAAAGAAGCTAGCTTCAGAGAGCCAAATTTTACAATAGTTTTCAGTAGGAACTTAAGTGTAATAAACTACAAAACTTATCACAATTCTATTGCAACAAAAAAAATTTATTTTTTGGATTTTAATACTACAGGGTGGGCCATTTGAAGTTGACCCACTTGATTCTTAAAACAAAAACAAAAAAAGTGGACAATTTTTTTTTATTCCAAAAATCATTTATTTTGGTCCAAGGAGATTTTTTACAAATTATTATTAAAAATGATATCACGATATCATGATAAGGTGCCCATACCTTTAGCTCTGACAGCCGAATGCATTCTTTTTTCAGCATTTTCCATGACTTTGGTCAATGTTTCAGACGATATGGCGGCTATTTTACGTCTAATGTTGTCTTTTAGTTGACTTAAGGTTTTTGGTTTATTAGCGTATACCTTGGATTTCAAATAACCCCACAAATAAAAGTCTGGTGCCGTCAAATCTGGTGATGTTGGGGGCCAGTCAAAATCACCACTTTTCGATATCAACCGCCCAGGAAACAATGTTCGCAATAAATCGATTGTTGCTCTAGCTGTATGGCAAGTTGCCCTGTCCTGTTGAAACCAGAAGTTATCCATGACATTTTCACGAATAATAGGCATCAGAAATTCGGTTATCATTGCTCGATAACGCTCACAATTGACGGTTATCGTGGCTCCATCATTGTCTTCGAAAAAATACAGTCCGATGATCATATTCGCGCAAACACCGCACTAAACTGTAACTTTTTGGTAGTAAAGTGGCTGTTCTTCGATTAATTGAGGATTTGCGGTGGCATAAAATCGACAATTTTGCTTATTTACGCCTCCATTCATCAAGAAATGTGCCTCGTCTGACATGATGATTTTTCGCTGGGTTAACACAATTGAGAATTTATTTTCAATGTAGAGCTGAACAATTTGAGCGCGTTCCTTTGGAGTGTATTGTTCCATGGTATCAATTGTCTTCGACTGACCCTTCCAACGTGGTATGACATTTGACGATCTGTCGACGCTGTCAAAAGTTTCAGGGTTGCCAAATGGGTCAAATTTAAATGGCCCACCCTGTATATTGATTGCTTTGGTCGCATATACCTAAGCACGCGCGAAATACCATTTTAAGGATTTGTTTATCCATTCTTTGAATTTAATTAATCTTGCACACGGACGTTTTTCCACTTTAATGAATTTTAAGTTTTCTTTTTTTTTAGGGGGAAGGCACCGAATATGCCACCCTTGTAAATAACTACCGCACGAGTTGGTTTAGTTAATTTAAGTATATATATATCTATTTATTGGGTGTGTGATGTAAGCGAGATAATTTGGTTTGATTGAACTGTGAACCAAATTAGGTGCTGGCTGCCTACTTCGAAGATACTTCCCCCATTGGAAGAGGTACGGTTCCAACTTGATGGGAATCGATGGGCAGAACGGTCAGTTTGGTGACGGTTTTTTTAAGAATGCCCGTAGCTGTACGGACCATAGCTTATCTGACGACGCCGTCCTCGCCAGGTATGTCTTCCTGAACTCACTTGGTTTAGTTTAACGATGTAATGTTGTCCTCCTTCAGCAACACAATGCTTCCGATCTTGATGTTAGATCCTTCGGAACGCCATTTGCTCCTTTCCTGAAGATGTGATAAATATTTGCTACTCCATCTTCTCCAGAATAGTTGCTGCATTTGAGTCACAATTTGCCATCTGCTGAGGCGGCCTTCAAGGAGATGAGTGAAATGCTCCGGCGTTAGCACCTCAATCTTTCCCCGTTTTCTGAAATTGGACAAAGGGGACATGAATTAAGAATAGCAGAAATCTCGTAAGCAAGAGTTCTCAATTCATCGAGGGATAAGATGGATGGACCGACGACTCTGTAGAAGGGAAACTTGGCCAATTTGACAGCGGCCTCCTATAGACCACCGAAGTAAGGGGCACGTGAAGGTATGAACTTCCAATCTATCCCGTCTGCTAGGCACGAGGAAGCTATCGAAGCTATATGTTGCTCGCTGAAAAATAGTTCCTTCAGCTCGCCTAACTCGCTCTTGGCGCCGACAAAGTTAGTCGCATTATCACTCCAGATAGTTCGCGGACTGCCTCTAAGGCTGATGAACTTTCTCAGAGCTGCTATGAAGGAATCTGTTGTGAGGTTCTGGACGACTTCCAAGTGAGCGGTCTTCGTGAAAAAGCAGACAAAGACGGCGAAGTAGAGCTTGTGCGGTGTCTTGTTCCGGGACTCTACTTTATGATAGAATGGCCCACAATGGTTGATTGCTTTGGTGACTGGATGGTCCTTGGGAAGCAATATCGGATGCTTCGTATCATAGTCCAAGTTTGTGTTTTGAAGTCTTCCACCAACGCTAAGTAATTAATCGGTGCCAAGAATTGGCCTCAGCGAAATCAGTTTGCCCTTCTGTGGACACGGCTTGCTCTGGCTAAGAAATCCATACTCCTTGGCTAAGTAAACCTGCTGGATGCTCTTCAGAAGAAGTACGGTCCTCGAGTCGATCTCCTCAACGGAAAGATGGCCATTTGAAGGTAAAGCCTTGGTACTTTAATTCGAAATAAACCGATATACGTAAGCAAATACACGCTGCAACTTATCAAACGTGTTAAGGAATTTGCAGTAAGCATAAATGTCAGAATCGCGGAACGACGCTCCGTCATTCCGACGAGTTTTCCAGAATAAATGGAGGTCCATTAGCTTAAACGGAATGCTCCAGCAATTCTCTAAGGGTACAGCCTCCGGACACAACATCCGCGGGTTGAGTTTGGTTGGAACATGATTCCAAGACATTCCTTTCGTCAACTCCTGAATTTTTGCGATTCGGTTGGATATAAACACATTAAACTTCTCCGGAGGTTGCCGAATCCACGCCAACACGATAGACGAGTCAGACAAGCAATGAAAGGCGCAATCGAGATCTATGGTTTCCTTGACGTTTACGTAAGCTCTGCTAAAAAAGTGCTGCTGAAAGTTCCAATCTTGGAATTCTCAAGGCCTTTAACGGGGCTACTCTCGACTTGGCGCAGAATCCATGCAACTGGATGGACGCTTACAGACACGTTACGAATCGTGCAAATTTTAAGTTCTAAACGATCGACAAGTTCTAAACGATCGACAACTGACGAAATAATGGGCTTTGGCAATGCGTTATCCCAATCCACATTAGACTTCCATCGAAATTGCAAAAAGATTTTAGATATGGTAACAATTGGCGTTATTAAACCAAGTGGATCATATAATTTGGCTATAGTTGACAATGCAATTCGTTTGTTTGTCTCGATGACTTGACGATATCTGAGTAAAATTGAACAGGAATTAATTAGTTTGTAAACACTTAACTCATCCGTTGAACCGCACAAGAATATCGGCTTCGTCAAATTGGTCGATATTATTGGCCATTAAATAATTTTTGACCGCGTTGATTTGCCGCAAAATGGATTGCACTTTGACCCGAAGGAATTCTATTTCACTTGGGCCATTTTGAGGCTGACTCTCGTTCAGAGAATTTTGCATTTTATTAATCACAAAAAAAAAAAAAAAAATTAAAAAAAAAGTAATTCTCAACTATACACGAATCACACTGTGGTTTAAAGCGCGAAAATATTAAGCAACAAGCGTCACAAAAATGTTGCAGAACTTTGATTTGTTTTTTTTGCACAAGTTTTCCCGCTTAGCACCAGCAAAAACTAAGAAACAGCGCGAAAAATGCACAAATAAAAGACCGGCTAAATGCACTGTGTATGTCCGTTTGTGTGTTTGCAACCGAATTCCAGCAAACGACGACAAATGTTTAAATGATAATGAAACAAAACAAAAATAAAGTTGCAGACTCCGATTTAAACGAAAATCACGTCATGCCACCCTTGTAAATAACTAACGCACGAGTAGGTTTAGTTAATTTAAATATATATTTATTGAACTGAGGTGGCGACAGCCGAAAGCTCGTTTTTTTTATACCGTCGTTCTCACGAGTATAGATAAAATAGATAAACAAACATAAGAGAGGCTTGAAGAGCGGATGATAAATCCCTACACCTATGTGCACCAAATTAGGTGCTGAATGTCTGCTCCGAAAAGGGTTAATTGAAGTAAACAATTATTATATTTGCAGAATTCTTTCAATTTTTTTTTTTTTGATTCTGTAAATAAGTTAAAATAAATGTTTTATATAATGAAAATGGATTTGGATTTAGTTGTATAGGAACTCTGATGAAAATCCCAAAGAAATTTGTCTATTTCCCCGCAATGTGAAGGATTCATTTGTATTTTCCCCTTCAGAACAACAAAGGTATTAAGTCGGTTCCAAGTATCAAAAGCGGTATTTCTAAATTGTCAGCAGTTCCAAAGCTTTTTTTAACGAGCTATAACTCCTCACTTGCAGCCACTTTGTAGATCGCAGATGTACTACCAGGAATGTTTTAGAGCTCACTTCTTTTGTTATAAGTGTCTTAAAAAACCATTTTCAAGCTGATGCCATTACTCATTTCAATAAAGCATTTGACTCTGGGAATCACTTTCTGCTGATACGAAAACTGAACATGATAGGGTTTCCGGCCAATCTACTTAGCTGGATCTTATACCTTCCGTTGGCAGTTGTGTTGAGTCCTCTTCAAAATGTCCTTAAGTAGTCTCCTCAGAGTAAATAGAAAAAAATGTTGGAACATTTTACGCACTGCATTTCACATCTCAAATTTCAGGCAAAAAATGCCAACTGCCACAAAAAACTATTAAGCACTGGTCACGAAATAAGCAATTAACATTTGGATTAGCGAAAGAAGGAGAAAACAA